GAGGGCTTGGCTTGTGCCCTCATAGAATCAGAGCCATCCAGTCCAACCCCCATGCCAAGAAGCAGGAAAATCGCATTCAAAGCACCCCTGACAGATGGCCATCCAGCCTCTGATTAAAAGCCTCCATAGAAGGAGCCTCCACCACACTTTGGGGTAGAGAGTTCCACTGCTGAACGGATCTCCCTCTACGTCCCACCTCGGAGTCTAAAATCTTCTGGGGAGGCCCTGCTCTCGACCCTGCCTCTATCACAAGTGAGGCTGGCGGGGACGAGGAGCAGGGCCTTCTCGGTAGTGGCCCCTCACCTCTGGAGCTCACTCCCCGGGGAGATTAGATCAGTGACTTCCCTTTTGTCATTCAGAAAAAAATCGAAGACCTGGATGTGGGACCAGGCTTTTGGACATTCTGGCAGCTAAAGGAAAGACCTTGATGATGGGCAGGAATTGACAGAATGGAATGGATTTATGGAACTCTGAACACTGACCATGAGATTGTTTACTATTGTGTTATGTACTGATGTTTTTAACCTGTCAACTGTTTGATTGCTTTTAAGTATGTATGTATTTTTGACACAGGCATCGAATTGTGCCTTCCTTTGTAAGCCGCCCTGAGTCCCCCCTTGGGGGTGAGAAGGGCGGGGTATAAGTAACTGAAATAAATAAATAATAAATAAACAGCTCTCAAAAGTCAAAAGGTTCTTGTTTATTTATTTATTTATTTGCGACATTTTTATCCCGCCCATTTCAGCCCGAAGGCGATTCAGGGTGGCGTACAGACAGGCAACAATTAAGATGCCATATATAAATACATACATCAAGAAAAACACATCATACATACATACAAAATCCATAAAAACTATAAAAAATGTCTTCCAATCCAAATTCCTCATCCGTCTATTATTTATTTATTTATTGTGTCAGTGCAACCAGTCGATTATATTACATTTCTAATATAGGGCGCAGACACCCCGTGATAATGCGGCATGTTTCATTAAGAGCCACATCCACTGTTTTAGTGTGGTGAGTTGTGTTCCACACTGGGCATGCGTACTCAGCAGCAGAGTAGCACAGCGCAAGGGCAGATGTCTTCACTGTATCCCTGACAGATGGCCATTCAGCCTCTGTTTAAAAGCCTCCATAGAAGGAGCCTCCACCACACTATGGGGTAGAGAGTTCCACTGCTGAACAGCTCTCAGAAGTCAAGAGGTCCTTGTTTATTTATTTATTTATTTATTTACAACATTTTTATCCCGCCCATTTCAGCCCAAAGGCAACTTAGGGCAGCGTACAGACCGGCAACAATTAGATGCCATATATAAACACATATATCAAGAAAAACAATTAAAACACATCATACATGCATATAAAATCCATAAAAACTATAAAAAATGTCTTCCAATCCAAATTCCTCATCTGTCTACATAGTCTTAGCCATTCCATTGAAACACAGTATTTAAAGTTGTGTAAAACTGTACTAATTCTACAGTGTAGATGCACCCAGAGACATTTTACAAACTTTTTATGTATAAGCAAAGGGTTTTTTTAAAATTGGGAATGTTTTTGTTTCATTTTTAATTTTTTTATATTCTTTACTGACTTTAAAATGATTTGAATTGTTGCTCAATTTTATTGGCATATAATTAAGTAAATAAAGGAATACTTTATTTAGAATGTTGTTCTCAAGTGAGATATAGTTTTGCCTACAGATTCTGTTGAATGAACTATGTTTACATTCTTGTGTTGTACCCATGAATAACAGGAAGTTTTAACATTGGGTTTAGAGTGTACCTACACTGTAGAACTAATACATTTTGACACCACTTTAATTGCCATGGCTCAATGTGATGAGTTTTCCGTGATCTTTTGCCTTCTTTGCCAAGCAGTGCTGGTGCCTCAGTATAATATGGTTTCCAGAATTCCACTGCATGGAGTCATGGCCATTGAAGTGGTGTGAAACTGCATTTTTCTATGATGTAGATGCAACTTAACTGACAGGTAACTTGAAGGCACATTCATGCATACACACACAACTGGAAATTGGGCTTCACAAAATCTCTAAAGGGTAAAAAATACCTTGTTTAATGCCCTCACAATGATATCCTTTTCTGCCTTCAGAAACAAATTTCCATTCATGTGAAAGCTCTGAAGGAAATAAGAGAGAAAATGAAGGAATCGAAAGAAGATTTGGAGTTTAGAAGCCAAGCTGATCAGGTGGGGATTTGCCTCTACTACCAGGGAAGAACATGGGAGATTTTCATTCTTTTTATTATTGAGGTATGGGACGTTTGTAGCTTGAGAAACCTTGATCTGTGTGTCCCTGGGCTATAGATGTACCTCAGTCCAGTCATCCTCATTCTGTTACATTCCAGATATATTGAACTACAACACCCCAACTGGTATGGACAAGTTTTAGTTAGTGCATTTGGGGGATGCCAGGTATGGGGAACCTCCTTCTTTCTTAAGGGTTGCTGTGGATAAAATAAAGGAACAGGGGATCTATGTTCATCAAACGTAGTTGTCTTCAGGCAAAATGAGATATTAAATAAATATCCAGTTAGGCTGGGTTATTGATTTACGCTTGGAGCGAGCAATTTATAACCCTTCAGGTGTTAGTAGTCGTGTCTTTAGACCAGGGGTCCTCAAACCAAGGCCCGAGAGCCGGATATGGCCCTCCAAGGTCATTTACCCGGCCCTTGCTCAGGGTCAACCTAAGTCTGAAACAACTTGAAAGCACACAACAACAATCCTATCTCATCAGCCAAAAGCAGGCACACGCTTCCCATTGAAATAAGTTTATATTTGTTAAAATTATTCTTCATTTTAATTATTGTATTGTTTTAAGTGGGGTTTTTTTTGCACTACAAATAAGATATTTGCCGTGAGCATAGGAATTCATTCATGCTTTTTTCAAATTATAGTCTGGCCCTCCAACAGTTTGAGGGACTGTGACCTGGCCCTCTGTTTTAAAAGTTTGAGGACCTCTGCTTTAGACCCAGGTCCAGTAACTGCTCTAGTGGCACCTGATGGTATACTACTTCTAGAACTAAGCAAATAGAAATCTTATGGGAAACAATAACATCCCCAAGATAAGAGAGTATGGTGTGAGCAAAGTAAATTACTTTATATAGTATTGTAGCTAGTATATATTTCATAAAATTATTAACTCTGCATTTAGATGGTATTCGGGGGTGTAGCCATGATTGTCTGTTTCAGCTTAAAATAAATAAGGGACTCCTGTATCACTTTTGAGATTTTAACTTTGTGGCATAACATTTTATTCCTTTTCCAGTCACTCTCAAATGTGCTATTGGTTTCCTTTATGTACTTAAAACTATTTACATATTGCTGTTCCTGTTATACAATTAGGCCTCCAAGTTTGCTGGGGTTATAGGAGTGCAGGACCCCCACAAAAAGTGAAAAAACTGAATAAAAACGCTGTATTTTAACCAAAGAGAACACATCCCTGGGAATCTCTGTGTCCTCCAGTGTGGCTCTGTGGTCAACTTTTGAGAAAGTTGATCATATCGTTCTGCTGGAGGACCTTGAGTTTCCTAGAGAGACCATAATAATCCTAAACAAATCTGCAAATTTGAAACCTGCAAATGTGTGTGAACAAACATATATTATAGTGGCTTACAAGATTAATTGTAGTACTTAATAATTCTACTGAGCACAGTGGTTGACAAATTCACTGTGCTGCTTATACTTTTTAAAAGAAGTGTACTTGTGTCATTACCCTGAGCTCTCAGAAGACCAGCCAGGTGTCCCTGACATCTCCAGCATCATGAGCATCTAAGCACCTTGGGTGAATCTGTACTGTTAAATTAATGCAGTTTTGACACCACTTTACATGCCGTAGCTAGTATATATAGCTAGTGCGCCAGCTGCGCCCGTACCTTGGGAAGTCTGACTTGGCCACGGTAGTCCACGCTCTGGTTACATCCCGTTTAGACTACTGCAACTCTCTCTACGTGGGGTTGCCTTTGAAGACAGCTCGGAAGCTCCAACTAGTCCAACGCTCAGCAGCCATGATTTTAACAGGAGCGGAGCGCAGGGAGCACACAACCCCCCTGTTGCGCCAGCTCCACTGGCTGCCGATTTGCTACCGGGCTCAATTCAAGGTGTTGGTATTGGCCTATAAAGCCCTAAACGGTTCCGGCCCAAGATACCTATCTGACCGCATCTCGGCCTATGAACCCACCAGGACTTTGAGATCTTCCGGGGAGGCCCTGCTCTCGATCCCGCCTGCTTCTCAAGCACGGCTGGCGGGGACGAGAGATAGGGCCTTCTCGGTGGTGGCTCTTCGGCTGTGGAACGCCCTTCCTACGGACATTAGACTAGCACCATCTCTAATGGTATTCCGCAAAAAGGTGAAGACCTGGATGTTTGTGCAGGCGTTTGAGTAATTTAGTGCAATCTGGTAATGGAACATAGGAATGGAACAATGGACGACGAACCTGGACTACGCTTGGATGATGAGAAGATTGGGTACGGTTGTTTTTTGTAATAATTGTGCATTGTAATTGCTTATTGGTAATTTATGGATAATGTGTTAAGTCAATTGTTATATGTTGATTGGAACCACTGCTGTTTCTACTGTTTTTACTGTTTGTGAACCGCTGTGAGTCGCCTTCGGGCTTGAGATACAGCGGTATATAAGCAAAGTAAAAGTAAATAAATAATAGCTCAATTCTATAAAATACCGAGAGTTGTAGTTTGGTGAGACACCAGTCCTCTTTGACAGAGAAGGTGAAAGACCTTGTAATAATACAGCTCTCATGATTCCATCACATTGAGTCATGGCAGTTAAAGTAGAGTCAAACTGCATTAATTATATAGTACATATGCCCCTAAGAAATATGAATAAGATCACCATCAATACTATCTCAATCATATATTTTTCCCCCATTCGGGCTGCCCTTTCCCTTCTGCTTTGTATCACAGGATGACGTTCACATTGAGAGGCAGAAGGTAGAAGCTGAATTTAACAAAATCCACGAGTTTTTGGAAAAAATTGAACGAATCCTGATTATCATGTTGAAGCGATATGACAAGGAGATTGTTCAAAAGAGAGACGGAGCGGTTAAGAAACTAACACAGGAAATCGATATCCTGGATGCCTTGATTAATGACGTGGAGAACAAATGTCAACAGCCTGCGAGTGAGTTCCTGCAGGTGAGACTCTCACAGGGTTGGAATGTCTGTTTGGACTCCAATATGGTGCATCTCTTAGGATGTTGGATCAGGACTTGGGAATTCAAGACTCCATTCAACTCTAAGCTACAAAGTTCATCACTACTTCATTTGCTTGCCAGTTTTCTATTTAATTACAGGCAGTCTACAGATTACAAACAAAATAGGTTCTGTAGTTTTGTTCTTAACATTGAATTTGTGCTAAAATGTGCAAGGATACATATGTGGAGTTTGCTCCTAAAAGGTACCAAAGGTACTCTAATTATTATTATTACATGTATTTTACACTGTTTTATTATTTCATTTATTATTTTACTCTCTTTATTATTATTGGAAGGATACGTGAGAACATTTACATAGAAGAAAGTTAGAATAATGGTTTAATCAAGGAAGTCAACATCATTTTTACTGTCTCTTTTTATTAAACCAGATTTCCTGGGACACAGAACAATAGAAGCAAATTGTACATGGGGAGATAGCCAATATGTTGGTTTTATTGTTGGACAGTCTTATCTTAAATTACAGTTTTATGTAAATATTCAAAAACATTTAACCTACTGATGCCTCAATTAATGTAATTTTATTGGTATTTATTTTTGTTTTGAAGTTTACCAGTAGCTGCTGCATTTCCCATCCTTGTCTTATAAGTCAATAAGTTTTCCCAGTTTTGTGTGTGATTAAATTAGGTACCTCAGCTTATACAGGGTGAGGCAGCATAACTTCCTTTTTTCAAAACTTAATAAAACCCATTGTATGAATCTGAATTTTTAAATTTTTTTATAATGTGGGCGCATACCTAAAGTTTTGTTTTACATAGTTTTGAAGATCAAATTAGGTAGGTGACATCCCCCATTCTCCATACACTGAGTAAATCGATTTCTGGCGTTTGTCATGACTCTTGCCAGCATTGCAGGCATTATGTTGGCAATTTCTTCCTGGATGTTGGTCTTCAAATCTTGTAGGGTCCTTGAACGGTTCACATAAACACGGGATTTCAAAAACCCCATAGAAAAAATCACAAGGGGCCGGCCACTCCAAATCCGCTCGAAAAGTAGGCCTCAAAGGCAAAAGCACGCTCCTCACTGTTCCAACGCATGATAGCAACTGAACTATGTCAGGACAAAACTTTATACTCCCGCCTCTTGGACAAGACCACTTGCGCTCCACTGCGCCATCAACTGACTGAATGGTGCACATTTAAAAAAAAGAAGTTATGCTGCCTCACTCTGTACTTGGGTCACCTTATGCTTGAGTATATATGGTATAAGTGGCAGCACATTGTTGGCAAAAAGTAGAATATTATGCGCAGATCAAACCTATCAAAATGTACCAAATAGCTTCTGTACAAGGCTTGGAAAATTGCATTTTGTAGCAAAAGCATGCATATCATCAGCACATTTTTTTGACTCCTGTAAAATTTGTTGAGGTGTATTTGGTGCCTTTTGGAAACAAGCTCCACATATTTTTATTCAGATGTTAAATTCCCACTGTGTTCAGAGGGACATTCCCAAGAAAACCTGCAGAGTCATGTGAACAAGAGTTCAAAAATGTCACTTTCCTCAGTCAGTACCAGTCTCACAGCTTGCATGGGTCAGCCACATAGAAATACTTACTCATTTTGTTCCATACTTGATATTATTATTATTATTTCAAACATGTATACCCCACCCTTCCCAACCCTGTGGGGGGACTCAGGGCGGCTTACAACTGACAACAATTTGATGCAGCAACATACAATACAGTATAACAAAACAATTACAGTATATTCTGCCGTATAAGACTACTTTTTAACCCAAGAAAATCTTTTCAAAAGTCAGGGGTCGTCTTATACGCAGGTGTAGTCTTATGCATGGGAGTCGTCTTAACTCTATATTTTAACTGGAAAAGTTGGGGGTCGTCTTATACGCGCAGTCGTCTTATATGCCGGAATATACGGTACAACAATAAATAAAACATTAAGTTAAAAGCAACTTAAAACATTATTCTCAACTGTATAGTCGTTTCCAGTCCAAACAAATATGATATCCATATTTGTTCATCCATCCCATCCATTCTGCTTTGTGAATTCTTTTTTTATTTAGATAGATCCCTGAGGCCAAGAGATTTCAACTAGTGTTCGAATGACTTGTAAGTGAGGATGGTATATGTTTCAAGTACCAATCTTTGCTAAATTGTGTTATCTTTGTTTGCAAGCATTTCTTTAAGCAATATTTTAATCATAAATGTCAGACTGACCTTTTGTCTTTTCTTCTCCTGCTTCCCCCAGGACATTAGGACCATTGTGTACCGGTAAGTAATTTCTCTAGACTGCATCATTTTTATTTTAGTGGAAATAGTCTTAACAAAGATTTTTCAGCAGGGAGATGAACAGAAAGCCTGCCCTCTTTCTTTGCCATTTTCAAGGCCATTCTTTTGGGTAGTGAAGTATACCCCTCACCTATTTAGGATTACGACTCCCATAATCCATGACTTTTCTGGTGAAGAAATGTGTGCCATAGTCCAGAGTATTAAGAAAATGCCAACTTCTCTTGTCTTTCCCAGCAATGCTCCAAAAATATTGGAAAGCTGCAACAAAGGCTGTCATTTCCCATATTGCTAGATTGGCTTAAACACCTCCATTATTTAAATGGAAATACTCTGTCTACAATTGAAACGGTTATTACAGTCCAGATTTGGTCCTGCAGCTTAAAGGTTCATTTAATGTTAGGGACACTGGATATTGATTAAGATTCTGAAAATAGCATTCATGAATACTCTGTGGCATCACATTGTCTGTATCTCTAATTTGGGAAGAGGTGGGATTTCAGATTGTAGTGTTAATCCTTTCCATTAATGCAGGTTGTGAGATGTTGACTGCAGTGTCATGTTTACATGTTTTCCATTGTAGATGTAAGGCTGGACAGCTGTCTCGCTCAGTGGAAGTTCCTTCCTCACCAACGGAACTAGAAAAAAAGCTTGGACATTTCAGTCTGAAAAATACAGTTATCAAGGAAGCCCTGGAGCAATGTCGAGGTACTGAGACAAGCAAATGAGACTTGAAATATTCTGGAATTCCATCACATTTGCTACTTTTGAAACAAAGGAATTGAAAGTTTAGTTTCAGTTTTGTTCATTTGTATATTTCTATGGCTTTGAGCACTCGTGTTTGTGTCCAAAACCAATTCAGGAATGACCTACTAGAACTGGGAAGAAGAAAGATTTTAGCAACAGACAGAAAGGGATACATGGGTGGAGAAAAATAACCAAAATAGATTTAGGGTAAGAATGTGTAGCACTGTGAGAACCTCTGTGGTATATTAAAGCACAGTAGACTCATAGAATTAGAAGAGACCACAAGAGCCACTCCTTGCCACATGAGACAACACAATCAAAGCACCCCCAACAGATAGCCATTCAGCCTCTGCTTAAAAATCACCAGAGAAGGAGACCTCGCTACATTCCAAGACAGCGTATTCCACTGTTGAACAGCTCTTCCTGTCGGGAAGTTCTTCCTAATATTTCCTTCTATTTCAATCCATTTCTCTGTGAACAGCAAGAAACAAGCCTGCCCCCTCCTCAATGTGACATATTTTCAAGTAATAAAAATAATACACTTTCTTTATATTCCGCTCTTCTCCCGTAGGGGACTCAGAGCGGATTACAGCATTTACATACATAGACAAACATTCAGTGCCTTTACAATTATATACAAATGAAACACACAAACAAAGGCATAGGCTTCTTCTTTTCATTTCCGGCTTATGGATGTGGTGCTTCATTTCTGGCTCTGGGGAGGTGCTCTCCTCCATTTTTTCAAGCTAAAGAGCCTCCGTTGTAATCTCCTGATTGTGTGGTCAGCAAGATTGCTTGGAGCATCTCTTTGCATTTTCCCACCAAAGTGGTACCTATTTATCTACTCACATTTTATGCTTTCGAGCTGCTACGTTGACAGGAACTGGAGCTGACACGCGGGAGTTCGCCCCATCTCACGGATCAAACTGCCGACCTTCAGGTCAGCAGTTAAGCCAACCTTCACATCAGCAGTCCAGCAGTACAAGGGTTTAACTCATCATGTCACCACGGCTCCTATTTAAACATGGCTATCATGTCCCCTCTCAGCCTTTTCTCCAGACTAAGCATACCTAGCTCCCACAGGCGCTCCTCATAAGGCTTGGTTTTCAAACCTTTGAACATTTGGTTTGCCCTTCTCTGAACGTGCTCCAGCTTCTCAATGTCCTTGTTGGATTGCGGTGCCCAGAACTGGAAACAGTATTATTCCAGCGGAGGTCTAACCAAAGCAAAATAGAGTGGGACTATGACTTCCCTCAATATTGACACTAGACTCATATCAATGCCGCCTACAATTACATTGGCTTTTTCTTACCACAACATCACACTGTTGACTCATGTTCAGTTTGTAGTCTGATAAGACTCCTAGATCCCTTCACATGGACTGTTTTCAAGACAAGTGTCACCCATCCTATATCTGCATTTAATTTTTATTACCTAAGTCTAGTATCTTGCATTTCTCCCAGTAGGCATTTGTTTTGTTGCTTTTGGCCTAGCTCTCTAATCTGTTAACGTCATTTTGGATTCTGATCCTGTTCTGTGGGGCATTCACTATTCCTCCCAACTTGGTGTCATATGCAAATTTAATAAGGATGCCTTCTATTTCATCATCCAAGTCATTGATAAAGATGTTGGATAGCGCTAGGCCCAGACTGACCTCTCATTTCCAGATGTTACTCCTTATAACACATGGCAAATACCTCTTATTTTTAGGCTTACGTGAAATGTAGTATTTCCTGGCCAGATCAATGATAATTTTGTTCATAAAATTACATTGTTTTATATATGTGTGTGTATTCCTGTAAGTATTGCACCACTTCTATCCTAAGATGCAGTTTTTCCCAACATAAACATCTCTAAGATCGGGTGCATCTTAGAATCATGGGTGCTTATTTGTATATATAACTTAAGGGTTTTTTTTCTGTTGGTGGTACTGAAATTAGTGTGCATCTTGCCCCCGATGGCACAGTGGGTTAAACCCTTGTACCAGCAGGACTGAAGACCGACAGGTCGCAGGTTCGAATCTGGGGAGAGTGCAGATGAGCTCCCTCTGTCAGCTCCAGCTCGCCATGTGGGGATATGAGAGAAGCCTCCCACAAGGATGGCAAAACATCAAAACATCCAGCCATCTCCTGGGCAACATCCTTGCAGACAGCCAGTTTTCTCACACCAGAAACGACTTGCAGTTTCTCAAGTCGCTCCTGACACGAAAAAAATCTTGCAATTGATGGTGTCTTAAAATGTACAAAATAAGATTTTTTTTTAAAAAAAAATAATTTAATTTATATGCCAACTTTCTTTTGAGATGAGTCCAAGGTAGCTTCCAGTTATTTAAAGCAACCTTGAATTAAAACCTTGTTTTACAAAAGAGGTCTATTGTTAAAGAGTTTAAAAATATCATTAAAAATTAAGAAACACATCACATGATTTCACACACACTGTTGTTGCATATTTTAAATCTAAAAGTCCTGCAAGGATATTTCTTCTATTTTCCCTGCTTTGTGGTTTATAATTTTTCCCAGAGTGGGCTTGTATCTTTATCTTGCTTCTGTTTCCATTCTTTGTTAAGTCAGAGCAAATTTAGTGCTTCATTTCTGTGTCTGTTCCACAGCACTGAGTAGAGTTTCTTACATTTTCTCTTCTTTCCCTTTAGCGACTATGATTTCAGAATTAGCAAAAGCAAGGTCAATCGAAACGGCAGCTATAAAAGGTAAGTTCATTTCCAGTGAACTGCACTAGGTGATACCATCAGGGGATGTGATGCCAAAATAAATACACAATGCTTGTACAATGTTTCGGCAGAAATGTATTATTTTTTATTTTTTTATATTCCTGTTATTAGATATAACCACAAAAATATTTTTCGCAAACCCAGTTTACATGTATTGCAACAATATCTTTACAAGGCTAAAACTCTATGCTAATTTACTTTTCAAACCTTCTTATGCATCTGTGCTCCAATCAGAGCTGTCATTATTACTCAACAACAATGGTGCTTTGAGATAGTATCATCTGCATGAACTACAAGCACGCATTGTTGTTTTTGTTACTACTAGTTTATTAAAGTTACTGATTTTGCCAAATGTTCTGGTATTTTCATTACAATCTTGTGGGGAGTGGCAGTATGAATTGCACTTGGTTATACCAACTGTAATGACTCAACTGACTGGGATATTCTTCCCCTAAGAATAATATTTATTTGGGCCTCTTATTCAGTTCCCAGAAACACCTTCCACGTTGTAGGAAGGGGCATTGAGAACATCCTTTAACACAGAACTTTCCAAACATTTCATGTTGTTGACACTCTTTTTAGACATGCATCATTTAGACATGCATCATTTTACGACATAGCATAAGTTTTATTAGCAAACCAAAGGTTAAGCCAACACCAGTATAACTCCAACCTCGTTTTTTAAAAAGCTTTTAAAAGTTTGGAATACCATAGGGAAGGAGTAATGTTTACATTGCTACCTGTGCCTCTCTTTTGAAGATTTCACCTCCCTTTCTATCTCAGTGACAGTTGAATTTTGAACAATGTGTCCTGTCATTGAAACAAGGCTTCTATGGAGACATCTTTTTCCCATGATAATCTTACAGGAGTGAATTTTGGTTTCTAGGCTCATATTTCCTCTCACTTTTTGTTGTCTCAGGGATACAGACAGCATTAAAAACCTCACAGTGGCTCTAACCCTACAAAATACTAACCAAAAAAATGCAACTTGCACAAATGTTTGTCTCAACATATTATTTATTTTTACCTTTACACGTAAATGCTTAAGCATTTTCAAATACTGCAAAAGGCCCAGTGCACATTTCTGGCTGGCATACCTGCTCCCAGGTTTGTAACTAGAAGTCATATGTACATCGGATGTTTGTAACTCAGGGACTGCCCTTATACTTAGAACTACAAAAACAAAAATCAATTTACATGATGTTAATGTAAAATGGCATTTCCTAGAGGCCCTATGCTGTCTTGTGTTGGAATTTTCCAGATTTCTTTTTTTTTTAAAAGATCTCAAACTTTTTTGAATTGCTGCAGTTGTAAGTCGCCCTGAGTCCCCATTTGGGAGTTGAGAAGGACGAGTTAGAAATGTTTGAAATAAATAATAGCCTTCCTTATGGTTGTGCTCACCTGACTGAGCTGTTTCTTTTTCCTTAGCGAGTGTTACTCTGGACCCCAAGACAGCTCACCCGCTTCTAGTGGTCAGCGAAGACAAGAAAAGTGTGAAACGGGGTGAAATGGTTCAGCCGCTGCCCAACAATCCTGAGAGATTCGATGCCACTCTGATCCTGCTGGGCCGTGAGCGCTTTGGCTCAGGAATCTATTACTGGGAGGTTATAGTGGGCAACGGGCAGGACTGGGCCCTTGGTGTTGCCAAGGAGTCTGTCAAGAGAAAGGGACCCATTATCACTTCCCCCGACCACGGGATTTGGGCCTTGGGGCTCAACGGCACAGAATACAAGGCTTTCTCCTCTCCTGAAACACGCTTGATCCTTGAGGAAGCCCCAGAGAAAATCCAAATATTTGTGCATTATGAGAGAGGGTGGGTGGCTTTTTTTGACGCCGATTACATGTCCCTCATTTTTATTTTCCGGTCAGCCAATTTCGGTGGAGAGAAAATCTTTCCTTTCTTTAAAGTGTGGGGTGTCACTACAGAGCTTAGAATGTGTCCCTGAAATAAAGCCTGATGTGTGCCACTCTGCTTCGGACCTGCAATTCCATTTATGCATACTTTTGAACAGAATCTCTGCAATGGCACAAACATCGGATTTCAGAGGGGAATGTTTTTAGAAAAAAAATGTTTGGATCCCATCTTTTTGCTCCATTAATAGAAGTAATTTTCAGACTTCTTAAGTTGAGTTGAGCGCATACAAAGTCCCTTACTGTGATGGTCTTTCTCCGTTCAATTTGTGTTTATGGACCCAAAAGTTGGAATCTAAGCCAAAGACTTTTTAAAATAAAGAAAAGATCATAGAATCATAAAGTTGGGAAAGACCTTGTGGGTTATCCAGTTGAAGCCCTTTCCAAGAAACATTCAAAGCACCCCTGACAGATGGCCATCCAGCCTCTGGTTAAAATCCTCCAAAGAAGGGGCCTCCACCACACTCCGGGTCAAAGAGTTCCATGGCTGAAGTCACTAATGTTCTTTCTAATGTTCAGGTGGAATCTCCTTTCCTGTAGTTTGAAGCCATTCCGTGTCCTAGTCTCCAGGGCAGCAGAAAACAAGCTTGCTCCCTCCTCCCTATGACTTCCCTTCACATATTTATACATGGCCCTCATTATGTCTCCTCTCAGCCTTCTCTTCTGCAGCCTAAACATGCCCACGTCTTTAAGCCGCTCCTCGTAGGGCTTGTTCTCCAGACCCTTGATCATTTTAGTCGCCCTCCAGCTTGTCAACATCTCCCTTCAACTGCAGTGCCCAGAATTCGACACAGTATTCCAGGTGTGGTCTAACCAAGGCAGAATAGAGGGGTAGCATGACTTCCCTGGATCTAGACACTAGACTCGTATTGATGCAGGCCAAAATCCCATTGGCTCTTTTAGCTGGTGCATGACACTGTTGACTCATCTTCACCTCCCTGTTCACGAGACTCCTAAGATCTTTTTCACACGTACTGCTGTTGAGCTGGGCATCCCCCATCCTGTTTCTTTGCATTTCAGTTTTTTCTGCCTAAGTTCTTCTTTATTTTCTTTGAAAGCCAAGCATAAATAATTTAAGAGAGACTCTTCTGCATCCTTGTCAATATTTCATTGTAAGCTGCAATATGGTTCTAGCTATCAGTTTGAAGCTGCAACTTGGTGTTAGCTCACTTTCACCCTTCTCTTAAAATTAGACTTCTTCGGAAAGAAACCATTTTGATTATTTTATCTTGAAAAAAATGTTTCTACCTTTAATTGCACCTGAAAAAATAGAATTCTCGTATTGGGAGTATTCTCTTCATATTCTTTCAATTACATTTATTTGGAAGAACATGGTGCTGAGATATAGAATATTCCCAGTACCCGAATGTTCAAGGGTTGCAGTTTGCCCATCCAGTTTTAGAACACTGAAGTAAGTTGTGATGCCAGATTTCTTTTTGGGGGAAGTGGTGAAATAGCTGCCTCCTTACACTTGTACCAGGCAGTCTTATAGGAAAACACACATGAGATTTTACAAATACAAAGGACTTCCGACTATTAATGTTACATTTTAATTCAGTGTGTAGTCAAGCATATATTCATTCTGATGGTGGAGACTCCTTCTTTGGAGGCTTTAAACAGAGTCTGGATGGCCATCTGTCGGGGGTGCTTTGAATGTGATTTTCCTGCTTCTTGGCAGGGGGTTGGACTGGATGGCCCATGAGGTCTCTTCCAACTCTATGATTCTATGATTTTAATAGGGCTTACACTTCGGTGCATACATATCACATAATGACATTTCTAAGATTGCTCAATTGCACCCTGCCTATCAAACCAATCGGACCAATCGGATTTGATTTTTTTATTGCTTGTCTCAAAGACTGTGAGCAAGCTTTGTCATTATCCTTCTGTCTTGAGAGGTGTGGCACGTAGATGAGGGGGAAAAAAGGAGTGTCTCAAGTGGCAGAGCATATGCTGTGCGTGTACGTAAAAGGTCCAGATCTCAATCCCTGGTGGCCCAGAGACTATACCTTTCACAGTCCTTCACCTAGCTTGATCGGGGGATTTTAGGCATTGTAATTCAAGAAAGTATTTTTTATGAACTTTTGGAAATCTTTTTTATTCACTTCTCCAGCTGCACCGTATTTCTTTCCATTGTAGATTTTGGGTAGTAGTTTTGAGCATCTCAAATCCACGACACTCATTTCCTACCTAACACTGAGCCTTTTTGCAGGAAATTCTTGAACCAGAAGTGACAGGAATTCAAGCTTGAGCTTTTTGCATATAAATAGATGCTCTACTGCTGGGTTTGCTCTCTTCCTTTATGCACCTTTGGCATTATGCAATTACTGTTTTTATAACATATGTCATAGCATTACAGTTTTATTTATGTTTTTTGAAAGCTAATATTTGATCTCTTTTACTTCAAAGGCAGGTTAACAACATGTGTCCCTTCAGGTACAATTAAACTACAGTTCCCATCATCCCTCATCATTAGCAATGCTTGTTAGAGATGATGGGACTTGCAATCTGGGGGCATGTGGAGGGCTGTGCGTTCCTCCACTCCTAACCTTTTTGATTTCTGTTACAGTAGAGCAGATTCTGATGGGAAATTAGGGGAAATGTTTTAATTGTAGGCGTAGCCCAACACTACAGCCAGTTATCTAGTCTGATGCTGGATTCTTCATTAGTGGAGTTTTTGTGGCTGGGGCTAGATAGCCATGCAGAAGGGATGCTTTAGCTATGGATCTCCTTTTTCAATAACGCATGTGGATTTGGTGGCCTGCAGCTCAGGTGGCCAACGTTGAGAGGTTAGAGAGGCACATTAGATCCTCTTGAAGGAGAACTGCATTCCCCGCAAGTGTCTTTGTAGTGATCCAAAATGCCTTCTAATGGGTGTGTTGGGGATTTTGACTGCTTTTAGCTCGTCTTGAGCCATTTTAGACCCAGGAGATGTCTTTTTAACAGCATGAAGTGACTCAAAATCACATCCTGTTCATTTCCTCCGTGGTTAAAAAAAAAAAAAACATTCCTAGACCTCATATGCCTTGGAGGAGCATGACAAAATGCCCTCCAAGGGCATATTAGGGCAAAAAACGCATTATTCTTTAACATCTGGGTCTACAAAAGGAACTGTATGGACCACATGGTGTGTCCATGGTCACACCATGCTCATTCTGACCTATTGCTTGTGTAATCCCCTCTCCAGAAGTCAGTTGCATATCTGTCCTGAATTTTTTTCCAATGATGGTGAAACACAGAACACCTGTCATCTTTATCCTTATCCATTTCTGACTGCCTGTAGTTCTGTTACAGAAGGAAGACACAAGAAATCAGAGGCTAAAAAGAAAGCAAGGGTATTCATTTGGCTAGATATGCCCCTCAGAGGAAAGAGGGGAATGGAGAAAATTCAAGAAGTAGCCCATGACCTTGGAGAAATGACTGCTTGGGACCACTCTCAGAATCTTCCAGCCAACATGGCTGTTACCTCTTGGTTGGGGGATTCTGGGAGATCTCAGAAAAATAAAAATAAAAACCATACATGTGCTACAGTATGCTTTAAGGTTTGTTTCTCAGAAAAATCCTTGGGAGTTGCTGTGGTGGGGAGGATATGGAATTCGGGGGGGAAATCGGCTCTTAAGAGTGCTTCATAAGAAATCCCCAACAGTAAATAAAGCATAGTTTGAGGTCCTGAGCAACTTCAGTAAGTGAAGAAAACAAAGCTTGAGTTGTTTTTAGTCTCTTTGACTTTAATCGAAGGAAATGGGAATGTTTGCTGAATTGTCGCAGTCCTGTCGTACACTTATTCAGTGGTTCTCAACCTGTGGGTCCCCAGATGTTTTGGCTGTCAACTCCCAGAAATCCTAACAGCTGGTAAACTGGCTGGGATGTCTGGGAGTTGTAGGCCAAAACACCTGGGGACCCACAGGTTGAGAACCACTGCACTTATTTGGGAAACAATCTTATTACACGTAGGGGGAGCTTTTCCAAAAAAAAAAAGAATAGAATTGTACTATAAGGGATCTACAGACTATCCCTACATTATGATAAACCTTGCAGATTTGGAACATGTGTTTTTTTCTTTTGTTCAAGGTGAGAAGATTTGTACATATTTTGATCTGGGGAAAAATATTGTCATTGCATTAAAAAAAATCTCTTTTGTGAGCTCAGAAGCTTCCTGTCTGCTGATTGTTAAGATCTTGATCATCACCTTAGCTTGAATGATGGGTTAGGCAGTCACTTTATTCCTGGTGAGGGTTGGAAATTTAATTCTCCATTTATGAACTCAAAACTTTGTCTGGAAGTCAGTCTAGAACACTAATGCAAACTTGAAGATCTAAGGTCGAAATGCAGTAGATTCTGAAATTTTGAACTGAAATAGTAAGCCATACAGATAGAATAATAGAATAATAGAGTTGGAGGAGACCTCATAGGCCATCCAGTCCAACCCCCTGCCAAGAAGCAGGAATATTGCACTAAAAGCACCCCTGACAGATGGCCATCTAGCCTCTGTTTAAAAACCTCCAAAGAAGGAGCTTCCACCACACTCCGGGGCAGAGAGTTCCACCACTGAATGTCTCTCAGTCAGGAAGTTCTTCCGCATGTTCAGATGGAATCTCCTTTCTTGTAGTTTGAAGCCATTGTTCTACGTTCTAGTCCCCAGGGCAGCAGAAAACAAGCTTGCTCCCTCCTCCCTGTGACTTCCTCTCACATATTTATACATGGCTATCATGTCTCCTCTCAGCCTTTTCTTCTTCAGGCTAAACATGCCCAGCTCTTTAAGCCGCTCCTCATAGGGTTTGTTCTCCAGACCCTTGATCATTTTAGTCACCCTCCTCTGGACACATTACAGCTTGTCAACATCTCTCTTGAATTGTGGCACCCTGAATTGGACACAATATTCCAGGTGTGGTCTTACCAAGGCGGAATAGAGGAGTAGCATTACTTCCTTATATTTAGACACTATGCTCCTATTGATGCAGGCCAAAATCCCATTGGCTCATGTTTAACTTGTCCACGAGGACTCCAAGATCTTTTTCACACATACTGCTCTCGAACCAGGCATCCCCCATTCTGTATCTTTGCATTTCATTTTTTCTGCCTAAGTCACCACAGTATGATAGTCACACCCTCATTTTGGGGGTGGCATAAGTGGCATTTTATGTTCCTTGTCTAATGTCACTGCCCTTTGGGGCCTATTTTTCCCATATTTGTTTCTCCAAAAGTAAGGCAGTTTAAGAACTATAAAATGGAGGCCTGTGGAATGGTTTGGGCTCAACTGATAGCAGCATTATTTGTTTGCAACATTTCTACCTCGCCCTTATCAACCCCTGAGGGGGAACTCAGAGTGGCTAATACTGGCAACAATTTGATGCTGCAATATCACAATATAAAACCATGAACACATAATATATTAAAAACAATAACATTAATTATACAGTCATAAGGGTTGGAGCAGGCCTGGGCCAACTTGGGCCCTGCAGGTGTTTTGGGCTTCAACTCCCACAATTCCTAAAAGTTGCAGCCTGTTAGGAATTGTGGGAGTTAAAGTCCAAAACACCTGTAGGGGCCAGGTTGGCCCAGGCCTGCTTACTAACAGCCTCAGGAAAGGGCCTGAGGCTGTTAGACCTGGACAAACTGGCCAAGTTTGCCCAGGCCTTGGTTAGAGCTACATGGACCAAAAACGGTGGTGACTTGGGATTCTGGGAACTGTAGTGTAGAGTAGTGTTTCCAAGTGTTATTGGAACCTTTCAAGTCCTCTTCTTGATAGGAAGCCTCTAAAAGGCTTTAGAGCCCTTCCCACCAGCCCCTGGTTTCCGCTTTGGCTGGGCATGCCTATTCCTGGGAAGTGAGGAGGAGAATGGGACAGTGGGATTGGGCGGGAAAACTCCTTGTCTCCGCCTTTTCCTCCTGTCAATCATTTTAGGCTTGGAAGAAGGCCCGTGAACGAAGCCTAGTTTTTCATTTGGTTAGCCACGCCCCCCTTCCTGAGAAGCTGACTGGGATTGGGCGAGAAGTCAGCACTGTGCCCGCCTTTTTCCACCTGTCAATCACTTTTAGGCCTTCTCTGAAAGGCCGGTGAGCCTCGTTTCCACCTGGTCTGGCCACGCCCCCACCCTGAGAAGCTGACTGGGATTGGGGGAGAAGGCGGCGCGGAACCCGCCTTTTCCCTCCTGTCAATCATTTTTAGGCCTTCTCTGAAAGGCCAGTGAAGACTAGAGAAGCCTTGTTTCCGCTTGACCTAACCACGCCCCCTTCCTGAGACGCTGACTGGGATTGGGCGAGAAGGCCTTTTCCCTCCTGTCAATCACGTTTTAGGCCTTCTAGTGTTAGACTAGAAAAGCCTTGTTTCCGCTTGACTTAGCCACGCCCCCTTCCTGAGAAGCTGACTGGGATTGGGCGAGAAGGCGGCGCGGTACCCGCCTTTTCACTCCTGTCAATCACGTTTTAGGCCTTCAAGTGTTAGACTGGAGAAGCCTTGTTTCCACCTGGTCTGGCCACGCCCCCACCCTGAGAAGCTGACTGGGATTGGGCGAGAAGGCGGCGCGGAACCCGCCTTTTCCCTCCTGTCAATCACGTTTTAGGCCTTTGCTTGGAAGGCCGGTGTTAGACTAGACCTAGCCACGCCCCCTTCCTGAGAAGCCGACTGGGATTGGGCGAGAAGGCGGCGCGGAACCCGCCTTTTTCCTCCTGTCAATCATGTTTTAGGCCTTCTAGTGTTAGACTAGAAAAGCCTTAGGTTCTTGTGGGTTTTTTCGGGCTATAGAGCCATGTTCTAGAGGCATTTCTCCTGACGTTTCGCCTGCATCTATGGCAAGCATCCTCACTACCTCTGAGGATGCTTGCCATAATGCAGCCGAAACGTCAGGAGAAAATGCCTCTAGAAAATGGCCATATAGCCCAGAAAAACCTACAAGAACCTAGTGATTCCAGCCATGAAAGCCTTCGACAATACATAGAAAAGCCTTGTTTCCGCTTGACCTAGCCACGCCCCCTTCCTGAGAAATCGACTGGGATTGGGCGAGAAGGCGGCGCAGAACCCGCCTTTTCCCTCTTGTCAATTATTCTTTAGGCCTTCTCTGCTTGGAAGGGTTAGCGTTGTCCAATCGGCGCCTCGTTTCCGCTTGGGCCGGCCACGCCCCCTTCCTGGGAAAGCGGCTGAGCCAATCAGGGCTGCGCAGAGGGCGCGCGCCGTTCTCTCCTCGCGGGGCTCTTCCGCCCGCCAGCCAGCCAGTCAGCGTTCGGCGTCCATGATGAGCGGAGGCCTGGGCGGCTTGACGGCGGAGCAGCAGCTCCAGCAACGGCTCCTCCGCAGCCGGCTGCGGTCCTCGCAGCTCCACCTGGGCGGAGGCGGCGGGGGAGGAGGAGGAGGCCTCGGGGTGGGCGTCGGCGGCGGGGCCGGGGTGAGCCTGCTGATGGGCGGCCCTCTTCCGGCGCCGCTCCTCTCTCCGCCTTCCCCGCCGGACTCCCCTCCGCCGGGCACCACTCCGGCCGAGATCCCCGCGGGGCCGCGCTACCCGAGCGAGACGTGGTGCTCCTTCTGCCGCGTCTACTGCCCGGACCCGATCTGCCTGCCCTGCGGCCACAACTTCTGCACGGCCTGCATCGGGCAGCGCCTCGGCGAGCCCAAGCTCAACATCTCCTGCCTGGAGTGCGGCGCCACCTCCCGGAAGAGGAACCTGCGGCCCATTAAGCCGCCGCCGCTGCTGGCCAGCCTGGTCGCCCCGGAGAGGCCCAAGCGGCAGAGGGTCGAGGCCGCGCCGCCGCCGCCGCCCCCTCCACCGCAGCCGCTTCCCATGGCTCCTCTGGCGCCCATCATCGCTCCCGCCCCTTCGCCGCCGCCCCCGCCGAGAGCGGCCACCCCTCCGCCGCCGACCACGCCGCCCAAGGCCTTGCCCTCGGCCCCCGCCACCCCCGACGTCTCCCCAACCGCCGTCGCCGTGGAGACCGTTGCCATGACAGCGGCCGCGGCGGCGGCGGCTTTCCGAAGGGCGCCCCTGACGCCCGGAAGCGGAGGCAGCGGAGATGGGGGCAGCCCCGGAGGGCGGCTCTGCGAGAAGCACCAGGCCGTGCTCCAGTTCTTCTGCGAGGAGGACCAGGCCCCCATCTGCGCCCACTGCGACCGCTCCGAGGAGCACCGCGCCCACACCATCTTCCACGTCGAGAGGGCCGCCCGCGACTATCGGGTAAGGAGAACCCACAGAGAGGAAGGAAGGAAGGGAGGGCCCCAAACGCCACCCACTTGCACATCCCCCAGGGCAGCAACAGGGCAGGGGTTAGCAAGGGAAAAAGGTTTGTTTGTTTATTTATTTCTATGCCGCCTTTCTCAGCCCAATTGGGAGCAGTTCGATGACACACAGTCATTTTCCTAGTTCCAACAGACCTCACTACCTCTGAGGATGCTTGCCATAGATGCAGGCGAACCGTCAGGAGAAAATGCCTCTAGAACATGGCCATATAGCCCGGAAAAACCTACAACAACCCAGTGATTCAGGCCATTAACTGGTTGATTAGGTTCTTGTGGGTTTTTTTCGGGCTATAGGGCCATGTTCTAGAGGCATTTCTCCTGACATTTCGCCTGCATCTATGGCAAGCATCCTCAGAGGTAGTGAGGTCTGTTGGAATTAGGACAATGGGTTTATATATCTGTGGAATGGCTGGGGTGGGGCAAAGGACTCTCTGCTGAAGCTAGGTGTGAATGTTTCAACTGATCACCTTCATTAGCATTTGAAGGCTTGGCTGAGCCTGGAAAAATCCCCTGTTGAGATCTGTATATAGTAGGGATCCTCTCACCTCTGCAGGAGTCTACCGTATACCATGCAGCTGTGGACAAGTCTACATTAGGACCACCAAACGCAGCATTGCCCAAACACGAATCAAGGAACATGAAAGGCACTGCAGACTACTTCAACCAGAGAAGTCAGCCATAGCAGAGCACCTGATGAACCAACCTGGACACAGCATATTATTTGAGAACACAGAAATGCTGGACCACTCTCACAACCACCATGTCAGATTACATAGAAACCATTGAAATCCACAAGCAAGTGGACAATTTCAACAGAAAGGAGGAAACCATAAAAATGAACAAAATCTGGCTACCAGTATTAAAAAACTCTAAAATTACAGCTAAACAACAGAGAGGAAAAAACCAGGCACATCTTAACACCTCCCAGCAACAGATTTTCCCAGGCTCAAGCAGGCCTTCAAATGCTAATGAAGGTGGTCAGTTGAAACATTCACACCTAGCTCCAGCAGGAAAGAGCTCCTTGCCCCACCCCAGCCATTCCACAGATATATAAACCCTTTGTCCTAATTCCAACAGACCTCACTACCTCTGAGGATGCTTGCCATAGATGCAGGCGAAACGTCAGGAGAAATGCCTCTAGAACATGGCCCTATAGCCAGAAAAAAACCCACAAGAACCTAGTGATTCCAGCCATGAAAGCCTTCGACAATACGCTTCTTTGTTTGTTTATTTCTTTGCCGCCTTTCTCAGACTCAAGGTGGCTTACAATTAGGAGCAGTTCAATGCCACACAGTCATAAAAACAATTTGTTTATTTATTATATTTGTATACCGCCCTTCTCAACCCGGAGGTGACTCAAGGCTGTTTACAGAGGCAACAACACCATAAAAACATTTAAAACATTTAAAAACATTAACATATACTATAAAACCATAACAAGAGCAATAAAACACCATAAAAGCATTTAACAACATTAACATATAATATAAAACCATAGCAAGACCAATAACACACCATAGAAACATTTAAAACATTTAACAACATTAACTTATAATATAAAACCATAACAAGACCAATAACACACCATAGAAACATTTAAAACATTTAACAACATTAACATATAATATAAAACATAGCAAGACCAATAAAACACCATAGAAACATTTAAGACATTTAACAACATTAACTTATAATATAAAACCATAGCAAGACCAATAACACACCATAGAAGCATTTAAAACATTTAACAACATTAACTTATAATATAAAAGTATAACAAGACCAATAACACACCATAGAAACATTTAAGACATTTAAAAACATTAACATATACTATAAAACCATAACAAGAGCAATAAAACACAATAAAAGCATTTAACAACATTAACATATATATAAAACCATAACAAGATGAAAAACACACCATAAAAACATTTAAGACAATTAACGACATTAACATATAATATAAAACCATAACAAGCTCAATAACACACCATGAAAACATTTAAGACATTTAAAAACATTAATATCTGTATATATAAAAATGCTCTGTGCGCAATGAGTACCCTAAAAACAAAAGAACCAATGAACAAAATCACACCAAATTTGACAACAAAACGTCTCACATCACAAGGTTTCTGGGATTTATAGTTCACCTAGCATTCTGGACTCCACCGATGATGGAATTGAACCAAACTTGGCACACAGGACTCCCATGACCAACAGAAAACACTATAAGAGTTTGGTGGGCATTAACCTTCAGTTTGGGAGTTGTAGTTCACCTACATCCAGAGAGCACTGTGGACTCAAACAATGATGGATCAGGACCAAACTTGGCACGAATATACTCCATATGCCCAAACAGATGGGGTTTGGGAAAAGAGAAAGAAGGATGGAAGCAAAAGGCGAAGGAAGGAAGGAAAGAGGTAGAGAAGGAAGAAAGGAGAGAAAGGGAGGGAAGGAAAGAAGGAAAAGAGAAATAAGGATGGAAGCAAAAAGCGAAGGAAGGAAGGAAAGAAAGAAAAGAGAGAAAGAAGAAGGAAAAGAAAAATGGGGGAAAGAATTAAAAAGGTAGAGAAGGAAGGAAGGAAAGAAGAAAAGGGAAGGAAGGAAGGAAAGGGAGCAAAGGAAGGAGAGGAAGAAGGAGAGGAAGAGGGAGGGAAGGTTGGCCACAGCAACGCATGGCGGGGACAGCTAGTACAATATAAAACCATAACTAAATCAATAAGACATCATGAAAACATTTAAGACATTTAAAAACATTAACATATAATATAAAACCATAACAAGATCAGTGACATAAATCATTTGCATCTCCTAGTTAAAACATTGTCCAAACTCATCATCCAGTTGTTCCATATTCCTACGTCTGGTACACTGCATTTTCAAACGCTTGCTCAAAAAGCCAAGTCTTGACTTTTTTCCCGGAACGTTAAAAGGGAGAAGGCCGATCTAATGTCACTAGAAAGGGCGTTCCATAGCCAAGGGGCCACCACTGAGAACGCCCTGTCTCGTCTCCGCCAAACGTATTTGTGATGCAGGCGGGATCGTTCAGACAGGTAAGTTGGGCCAGAACCGTTTAGGACTATACCAGTTAAAAACATTAGCACACATTATAAAAAAACCATATACAATCATTAAAAAACATATAATCACCAGCAACTTCCTGTTAATTAATATTCCAAAAGCATTGTCTAAGCCGTTCCATGTTCACTCTTTCCTGGTTCCATGTTTATCTATTATGCTGCCTTTCCAAAAGCTTGTTCAAAAGCTTTTCAGCTGCAGGCCAGGAAAAGGAAAACCAGCCACTTTAGCAAGCCTGGCAAATGCTACTTTGTTATAAGTAAATGTTAATTTTATGTCTATTTTATATAGTAGTAATAATTATTATATTTATTTACACCCTTCATTATATGTATTTATTATTATTATTTACAGCATTTATATACCGCTTTTCTCACCCCTGGGGGGACTCAAAGCGGTTTACACATAGATGGCAAAATTTAATGCCTTGCATTGAATATTTATTTACAACCTGCCCATACCTTGGGAAGTCAGACTTGGCCATGGTGGTTCACGCTCTCGTTACATCCAGGATAGACTACTGCAATGCGCTCTATGTGGGGTTGCCTTTGAAGATTGCTTGGAAGCTTCAAATAGTCCAACGAGAGGCAGCCAGGTTAATAACTGGGGCCTCATAAAGGGAGCACGCAACTCCCATGTTACACCATCTCCACTGGCTGCCTGTTTGCTACCAGGCACAATTCAAAGTGCTGGCTTTGGTCTATAAAGTCCTAAACGGCCCCGGCCCAATTTACCTGTCCAAATGCATCTCCCTTTATGAAGCACCATAAAGACTAAGATCTTCTGGGGAGGCCCTGTTCTTGGTCCCGCCACCATCACAGGTGCATTTGACGGTGACGAGAGACAGGACCTTCTCAGTGATTGCCCCCTGGCTATGGAACTCCCTTCCTGGCAATAATAGATCGACCCCCCTCCCTCCGGTCCTTCAGAAGGATAGTGAAGACCTGGCTGTGGGACCAAGCCTTTGCGGCAGTGCAATGAGGCAATAATAGAATGGTGTCCTGAGGTGGTTTTTACGCAACTGATTTTAAAGTGGATATAAGTGATATTATGTTTGGGTATATTTATGGTTTGATGTCCTGGCATTGAACGTTTGACGTATATTTGTTGTGCTCCGCCTTGAGTCTCCTTCGGGGTGAGAAGGGTGAAATATAAATGATTCAAATAATAAATAAAAATAGTGATTTCCCCTGAAGGGGACACAAAACAACTTAACATAAAAGCATCAGCATAACCATTTAAAATATGCAAATATACGAATATCAGAACAGGATTAAATATAAACTGTATTATAAAAATTCCCAGTTAGAAATCATTAAGACAGATTCAAAGTTTATTTGTTTATTTATTTTCTGCATTTATAAACCCACTTTTCTCACCCCTGAAGGGACTTAAAGTAGTGTATAACAAGTAATGGCAAGATTCAATGCCAACATATATACAAAATTAAATGAACATATAATTAAACTAATTACTAAAAGGATAACTATAAATTAAACCTTAAAATCATATTACACATAGAATATATGCAGACATTTAAAGTTGAAAGCTACAGCATTCCCTGACATGATCTTAAAAACCTTCATCTTTAAAAGCCTATCTAAATAAAAAGGTTTTTACATTTCCACCAGAAGGACAGCAGGGAGGGGGCATTCTGGCTTCCCTGGGAAGAAGGGAGTTCCCACCAATCAAGCTTGAGCTGGAGGTGGGATCGAGAGAAGGGCCTCTCCTGAAGATCTCAGGGCCGGGCAGGTTCATACAAGGGGATGAGGTTGACCAAATAGCCTGTACTTGAACATCTAGGGCAGTGGTTCTCAACTTGTGGGTCTCCAGGTGTTTTGGCCTACAACTCCCAGAAATCCCAGCCAGTTTACCAAGCACACAGGTTGAGAATCACTGGTCTAGGTCTTTAAAGGTCATAACCAACACTTTGAATTGTGCCTGGAAACAATCTGACAGCCGGTAGAGCTGCTGCAACAGGGGAGTTGTCCACTCCCTGTAGCCAGCCCAGTGAACAACCTAGCTGCAGCTCTTTGGACCAGCTGAAGTTTCTGAGCACTCTTCAGAGGCAGCCTCACATAGAGCACGGTACAGTAATCCAGATGGGATGTAACTAAGGCATGTTCTACCATAGCCAGATCTGGCTTCTCAGGGCACATCCGCAGTTGGTATACAAGTTTTAATTGTGCAAAAGCCCTCCCAGCCAACTCCAATACCTGGTCCTCGAGGTTCAGCGCTGAGTCCAGGAGGTCCCCCAAACTGCGGACCTGTGTCTTCATGGGGAGTATGACTCCATCAGCACAGACTGCATCCCTATTCCCTGGTCTGCTTTCCGACTGACCAGGAGCAATTCTGTCTTGTCTGGATTAAGTTTCAATTTGCCATCATTTAGTCCATAATAACAATATTTTATTATTTATTACCTGCCTCTCCTCTTGACTTGAGGGACACAATCTGATAGATCTGCATTTTTTTTAAAGAAAAAAAATTGGAGGAAGATTTGTTTAAAATGATTTACATTTGGCATCTGTTGTTGATTTGAATCAATCTACCTAGGTAGCTTTCCAAACTGTTATCTTTCCAGGAAAGTATTGGCTGTAGCGCAAAGGTGGAGGAGAAGGAGATGAACAATTTCAGGAGGAGCATTTAGATCAGGGTTCTTATTTATTTGGGATTTTTGGTTGTTTTTTTATCATTGTAGATATTAAATCAACTAGTGTTGCATTTAAAGCAAGTTTAAAAATACCTGTTCCCTAGCAACCTCAAAGTGTTAAGCAATCCTTTTGAATATTCATCAGTAGAGGGTTAGGGATTATTATACAATAACTCGTCAACCTGTTTGCTTTCCACTCACTATAGTATTGTATCACATCATAGTTGCTACTGCATATTAGTCACACCTCCAAATTTTGGTTGGCAAAATTGTATTTTTGCTATTCCTCGCATAATAGTTACACCCTTGATTCACTCACTTGTGCCTAGATGGCTCGGGAAGTCTTGCCCACCCACATGACTGCCCCCTTTGCAGCTGCAATAAGGACAGATGTGTGGACAGGTGAGGCATGTCTTTTCCGAGCTGTGGGGCTTCCCTCGGCTAACAGCACATTTTTTCACCTCATAATAGTCATCATATAATAAATGGAAAAAGTGTGACTGCTATAGAGTGAAATATGGTATTTAGAACTTGTTCTTCCAGGTCCAAAGAGACAATGCAACTCATCAATCAGTTTGTGAGCATTATTTCCTCCTAAGAATGTTAAATAAAAGCTTGGATGTTCTAAATGGGAATGCTGAAGTAGGAGCCTCAAGAAAATAATTTCTTTAAAAAGAGAAATAGAAACATATTTCTATTCTGATCTTAATTTCTTTTCCTTCACTGCAAGCGTTAATGTTTGCACAGCCAGAATAAGTGTGAAGATCACTCGTTGACCTTGCACTTTGTCAGCTTTTCTTATCTCACCAGAGTGAAACTAGAGTGGCAGCTGTAGGGTTTGGGTCAGGAACCTTTGTGGAGGAGCTGGGATGTAAACAAAAATATATGAATCATATATGTCAATCTCTAAACTAGGGTTGGGAAAAACGAAGGCCACATGCACTTGGTGTTTGCAGACATCCAGTGGACACTCCTGTTAAGTAAGGATTCTCCTCTGACCCCTGATTTTAAAAAACATATTTTTGAAGCTAGTGTGGCCCATAGAAAATTAGCCCCTATCCTTTTTCTAAGCCTTTACTTTTGTTCCAAATGAGTTTTACTTATTTGCTTTTAATGGCAGTAAAGTGTCTGAACAGTTATGACGTCTGTATGATTAGTAAGATTTAGTGTGTTTTTTTTCTAGCTTGTAAATGTGGAATTAAGGTTGAGAAATTCTCTTAGAAAATAAAATAAAGGATGGTCCAAAAGTTGCCATGCATAGTGGAAATGGGAAAAGGTAGCTAAATTTATCTTTATTTACAAAATATTAATTACAAAATTTTACAAAATATTTGCAAAATACCATATTTTCTCAGTCTGTATAAAAATATAAAATATATCTATATAAAATGTTAAAAGTATGAGTTCATTAATTTTCCCTATATATGGAGAAATTTGATATTTTAGCATTTTAATTGAAGAGATGTAATATACATAGCCAAATATAAAGTTTTAGAAGCCAGAGAGAGAGTCATTCTAAGCTTTCAAAGGATGAGAGGGGAACGTAGGACTGGGGCTTGGGCCTGCAGGGTGTCGTCTGTATAATGGCAAGTGGGACAAAAACAGTTGCCCATCTGTGTTTCCATATCTATGCCAAGAGTTCCATGCTGTTACTACCTCTAATCTCCTCCCTCCTATCTCAAGCCATTTTTATTTGCTCAGGAGCGGGTTCAAAAACAACTAGAGCTTCTGAAGCAGGAGAAGAACACCCTATCGAGTCAGAAGCTGACAGGAGAGAGGAAAATCCAGGAATACATGGTAGGTGCTATTAGCCATAAAGAACAAATTCACAAGGGTTAGTTTTTTGTCTATTACTATTTTGATCTTTCTCATGCATTCTCATTCTATTTAACCTATTGACTTTGCACCTAGATTTGCAATGCAATCAAGTTTTATATTGACCCATGATAAGCTGTAGAACTTTAATTGATGTGGCAAACTTCTGGTAAAGTGCTAATTGTTTTCAACACAGAATTAGTGCAGTAGTTTGAGAACTTTAGAGAAGGTGTTTGTATTTTTGAAGAAAGAATTTAAATTCTACTTGTAAACAGTGCTATTTATATCGGTTTGTATAAAGGAACAACCAATTGTTTTGATTTTCAGTTGTTTAATATGTGACAGCTACCATTCAGGTAAGCATTCAGATTTTATCCTACAGCATCCATGACTGGGTTCCATACCTCAGGGAATGTTTGCTGGAGGTAGGAGCCCTCAAAGCGGGGTGGGGGTTGCTGAGCTGTTTAAGCTGCTCCTGTTGCCTCTGACCAAGGCTTACTATTTACCTGGTCTAGAATTTACAGAAAGGGGGTTGCAGATACTAGACATCAGCTGACCACTGTTCCCTCCAGATCTTCTTAGAATGGAGAGTTACAATGCAAACATTTACCAGTTTAGAGAATGACTTCTTCCAACTTTACTTTGGACTCTGCTGCCTTTGTTATTCTATGCCAGTGGTTCTTAACTTGTGGGTCACAGGCCACCAGTGGGCCATGAGGATGAAAACCTGGTCCGCGAGCCTCCTTCCTATTTATTTTATTTTATTTCTGCTCCTTTCACGCCGCCTGCCACTCCTACCTGTCGCTGGCCAGCCTTGACCCCTTGGATAGATCACATCAGCTCTAGATTATTAAATATGGTTTTCTGTGGGCGAGCAGATGGTGACTACTGAATGGCTTATTTTCTGTATCAGAAACTAGAGCTGATATCATCTATCTAATGCAGTTTTCTGAATCAGCACCCCAAATAACCAAACCAAATCTAAAGTTGCCCAAAAACCCATTTGTAACCCTTTGGTACTAATGTTGGAGAGTGGTCACTGTGGTCCCTGGTCAAAGTACTTCCTGGTCAAGTGGTCCCTGGTCAAAATGGTTCCTGGTCAAAAAAAGGTTGGGAATCACTGTTCTATACTATTCCCATATCTTCTCTGTGTGTTACCAGGAAAGGATAATTTCCTGGCAGTGGGTTTTCTCCCAGATCACCCATGGGCCACAGTCCCCTCTCTCAGATAACTCAAATGCCTCTGCTTTCTTTTGCTGAGGAAAACAGACATGTGTAATGATTTTGGAGGTGCTTGTATAAGTGGTGTGAGCATATTTCCCTGTATTTTAATATTTTTTCAGGAATTTTCTCTGTTTTTAGCACAAAAATACCTGAAGGTCATTTCAATCTAAAATATATAGAGAGAGGGATGGGAGACTGGTGGTGGCTTTAGGAGCCACATGAAGTCCATAGGCAGCATTGCCCATCCTGGTCTGACATCTCACTTTCTTGTTTTCTGAGCACCCTAGTACCATTTGTTTTGCCTTATCTACCTAAAAAAAAGATTCTTTAACGTTCTCCTTCCTCACTTTGCCTGTGATTGTTATAGGAGAAGGTCCAGACAGAGAGACAGGAGATTGTGTCTGAGTTTGAGCACCTGCATCAGTTTTTGAAAGACCAGGAACAGCTGCTCCTGACCCAACTGGAAGAAATACGTAAAGAGATAGAAAGCCGGAAAGACGATATGGTCACCAAACTCTCAGAAGAGCTGTCCCGTCTTGGTGATGTAATCACTGAGATGGAGGCAAAATGTAAACAGCCGGCCAGTGAATTTTTGCAGGTGAGATTTGCTATCAGCAGAGAAATCTTTTTTCTCACTCACTTGGGCCTGGACCTGAACCTTGCAGTGGGTTATGGGCCTTGGACATTGAACCTCCAGAGAGCTCTCACGTATTTGAATATGGGGCTTGCTATTTACTTGCCAGTACATTTGCTTGGTCAAGGGTGAGCAGGACCCCCATCAGCTGCCCATCAGCTGTTTGGGTGGGGGGGGGGTTCCCTATTATCCAAAATATTTCCCACTCTCATGGAATGTTAGAAAATAGGCATTCCATAAGAAAATATTGGGGATTTAGCTCAAGTTGGCTCCTTCTGGACTTCCCCAAGGGACAGCTGGACCTCTGTAGCTCCTCCCATTGTGGAATGCTATGACATCATAGCACTCTGCTGTTGGCAGATATACTTCCAGGTCATTCAGGTGACCTGAAGGCTGTTGAGAAGCTGGCCTGGATGACCCCATTCCTTCAGGTTCATGTCGGGACACATCGGGTATGGCTGACATGCAGACCTCTAGTACGTACAGTTGTGTTAATATGGTTTTTTTTCTTAAGGGTGTTTGGGTACTTGGGCTGATGTGCCGGTGATGGGACTGAGTTCGAAGTCACTCTTGAAGAGTCAGTCTATGGAATCAGGCTGATAAGAGTGCATGCTGAGGATGACATGGGGGTTGGGCGCAATGGGAGGGAATAATGGGTCTGTGATGAACAAGAGGGGAAATGTTTTTGGAGAAAAAAAAGAAGTGGTGGGATATGAGTGCCTGCAAAAAAGCCTGCATTTTCTGGGATCTCCTTAGGGTCTTCCTGTGGTCCACTCCATGGCGAACATCATTTGTAGCTATTCCAAGGATGTGAGGCTGGTTTGTTCCTTTGTTTTTTTTAAAAAAATCGAGCACACCTCCTGCGCGCTTGAACTCTTGGCACAGAATCTTTTTCTTTTAATTATTTTGCAACCGGCCCTCTGATCACCAGCAACAAGGACAAGATGTTTAGGTAACCTGTGACGTGCAGAGAGTCTCTCTGAAGCACTACGGGTGATGATGACGAGACGCAGTGATCCTGGGACGGGGAATTATGGCCCCCCCCGGGGTCTCTCCTTTTGGGCCTGGGCTCTTTCTGGGAGGAAGGTGCTATTGCTCAAGTCAGGTGCGCCCCCTGTTCAGCAACGAAGTGGTGTGCCAACCGGACAGTCCAGGTCACTTGGGCATCAGGAGCTGGTGGCCCCAGGCGAGGCAAAGGCCGGTGGGCAGGCCCTGGAGGGGGCCAACAGCCAGCCTGCTTACCGGCAAGAAGGGTGGGAGAACAGTCCGGGGAGGAGAAGGCTGCTAAAAAGCCACTAGGGCAGACCTTCTCCTCAGAGAAACAGTTGCACCGCCAGGGAGAGCAACGTGGCCTGAAGGCTCCCGTGTGTAACCAGAGCATCCCCCATCTCTTGTCCTGGAGCACACACCCGCTGTTCCACTTCCGGGATCACAGGTAAGAGCCTGAGGGTGACTGGGGGGGCAGGCTACTTAACCCCTGCCCTGTAAGCACCAGAGGCTAGAAAAAAAGCTTCCATCCTCATGCCTTTAACAGCGGTTTTGGAGTCCTTTGCAGCCTGAAACAGGGTGGGCAGAGGCATATGCACCCTATTAGCCTGTGACGCACCCTATGATGAAATGCATTGTGGGATTTAGTTCCTCTTCTCTCTCTTTCCTTCCCTCTTCTAGGATATTAAAACGAACATGAACAGGTACGTGTGCTTCTTATCTTCCCCCTTATCAGCAAGTAAATTCCACACTCCTCTATTTCAGTTCATAGTCTAAGACAGTGGTTCTCAATGTGTGCGTCCCCACGTGTTTTGGCCTACGATTCCCAGAAATCCCAGCCAGTTTACCAGCTGTTAGGATTTCTGAGAGTTGAAGGCCAAAATATCTGGGGGCCCACAGGTTGAGAACTACTGGTCTAAGACAAGTAGTGCCCCTTTCACTTTCTGATTTTGCTTGAACCACTGCAATAAAATGTATGTCGGCGGTAGTCTTCAAATTGAATTCACACAACAGGTTGGCATACTGTAGGGACAGCTGCATGTACTTTGATTCCATAAAGTGCCAAGAGTAAAATATGAGACAGGAGAATCAAAACCTGGGGATAGGGATGTTCTTTACTCAGGTACTTGTCTATCATCCATCAACTGCAGTGAGAAATCAAATAATGCTGTGTCCCATGCTAGTGCAGAATAACCTGATAATTTGTATTCCTGGACCACATTTTCATTTGTTTCCTGTTGTGCTACCTTAATGGCCCCAAAAGCCGCCACTGGAAGCATTCGCTGCACTGTGTGCTTGGATTGGGCTGTAGGATTTCTGAAAGATGGAAGACAGTATTTTATGAAATCTCTGAAATTTTAAGACTTTATCCTAATACATTGGTTCTTGACTTGTGGGTCCCCAGGCGATTTGGCCTACAACTACCAGAATTCCCAGCCAGTTTACCAGCTGTTAGTATTTTTGGGAGTTAGAGTCCAAAATATCTGGGGACCCACAGATTGAGAACCACTGTCCTAATAGAACAGGAACCAATGTTACTTTTATTTATTTCATTCCTTGGGACCAACATGGCCATATTCAAGGCAAGTAGGGATTTTTCTGTTGTTTGGCACTCAGACATGGATTGTCATAAATCAGGAAGAAAGGAGGTGGCTCATTGAACTTTTTTTAAAAGTAGGAATGTTGCTTTCCTCTTTCAAAAATGCAGATGTGTAGCACAACAGTTTCAGCTCTCAGAAGAAGCTTCTAAGCTTGAAAGCAGATTGGATGACGTCTCAAGGAAAGGGGAAGCTTTGAAGGAAACACTAAAGAGATTCCAAGGTATTATGTGTAGGATTTTTTGCTCTACTTTACAGCTGGGAAAGCACGTCTAACGATGTAGCTGTCAGTAATAATAAAAAAAGACAGCAGTGTTCGATATTTTTGAAACTATGATTAGAGCTGTTTAATCCCATTTTCACTTCCATGGTTCCATTCTGTGAAATCCTGGCATTTGTATGAGGTTGCTTGACATATACCAGAAAGATCTGGTTTAGTGAGGCCCAGGACTCCCCCTGTCTAAGAATTGTTAAGGCCCCTCCATAAACTACAGGATTTAATGTGGAATGCTAACTCTATTCCTGTTCATAAAAGTGTAGTGTAATCATCTCTTAAATGATGAATGTTTCTTTATCTATTTTTCCCCTTTTGTAGATAATATGATATATGCTGTGGAGAAAGGAGAGATGAGAACACTGAATGATAAAGGTGGGTTGGATAGTAAAATTTTCTGAGTTGTTATTCTGATTTTCTTCCAGTCAGTGTCTTTATACATCCAAATGAAACAGTGTTGATGGGATTTGGGATTCCATGAAAGAGGAAAACTCTTAAAAGGAAATTTGTACAAAAGTTTTGCTTGATTGAACCCAGGGCAGATATGATTGGGCCAAAGTAATGCAGATTCTATGCAGGTGTTTTAATCTTGTATTTATGATTCTTGTGGAGGAAATTGATAGGAGGCTAACTTATTGCTGGAACTGTAAAGAAGATATGTCAATAAAGAGATGACATGTGCAGGACTATCTTGCCAGACTGTTAATACTGTACCTGTTATGCACTCTCCATGTGGTTTTTAAAAAGGTTATTGGTACTTTGCAGTTTCTCCTACATTAAGATAATTGTAATGTGACTGAAATGTATGAATCGGATCTGCTTTGCAATGGACCCTCAACATTACCAACTTTATCCTTTTTTGAGTTTGAAAGTTGTGAAGTAACCATTTATGGAGCCCAGTTTATTTGCGGACCCCTAGCAGTCGCATCAGTGTGGCCAATGGTAGATGGAGCATAGCTGTTTCTGTTCAACGGTATTTGGAGGCCGCCCACACCAGGGCTATCTTAGTTTATGCTGACTACCAGTGGATTGCTGTAGGGCAGTAGTTCTCAACTTTGGGGTCCCCAGATGTTTTACCCTACAACTTCCAGAAATCCCAGGCAGTTTACCAGCTGTTAGGATTTCTGGGCGTTGAAGGTCAAAACATCTGGGGACCCACAGGTTGAGAACCACTGCTGTAGGGTCTCTGGCAGAGTTCTTTCCTCACATTGCTGACCAAGATTCTTTTACCTGATGTGTTGGGGATTTTATGATTAGCAGATAATTATGATATATACTCGAGTATAAGCTGACCCAAATATAAGCTGAGGCATCTAATTTTACTACAAAAACCTGGGAAAACTTATTAACTTGAGTATGAGCTGAGGGTGGGAAATGCAGGAGCTACTGGTAAATTTCAAAATAAAAATAAATATCCATAAAATTACATTAATTGAGGCATTGGTAAGTTAAATGTTTTTGAATATTTAGATAAATCTAATTTAAGATAAGACTGTCCAACTCTGATTAAAATATTCTAACATTCTTCAATGTAAATGTGCTTACGTAGCCTTCCAATAATAGAGTAAAATAATGTAATAAAAATAATAATAGGGTAAAATAATGCAAATGTAATGATAACAGTAGTAATAGAGAAAAATAATAAATGTAATAATAATAAAGTAAGCATGTAAATGTAATAATAATAATAATAACAGTAAAATAATAAATAATCCTGACTCGAGTATAAGCTGAGGGGGGGCTTTTTCAGCCTAAGAAACAGTTGGAAAACTCAGCTTATACGTGAGTATTTATGGTAGGCAGTTACCCAGTGAGGTTTCTGTGATTCCATTACCTTCAGAAGGTCCTGCTGAGACACTATTGGGAATTCCAGTGAGTTGGTTAGTGGCAGAATCCCATCACCCACTAGTGTACTTGGGGTGTTTGGGAGTTGTTGCGCAATAGCTAGCTAGTGATCTGAAACAGAGAAGCAGAATGATAGTTGAGAGAAGTGGAACAGAAACGTGAACTATAATGAGAAATGTAGCTGTTGAGATATGTAGAAATTGTTCCCCTCTCTCTCCCTAAAACTGATGGTGCTTCTTTCCACTTGCAGCAGATGCGATGAGACAATGGATGGCGAGGTGTGGACAATCCCATCGTAAGCTGCCTGCTTTGCAGTATGTCCCCGAGGTGCCCAAAGAGTTGGATTCCACAGCTTTGGTTCTGGGCTGTGATGGTTTCACTTCTGGGAGATACTTTTGGGAATTGGAAGTGGGCGATGGAGAATTCTGGGCATTGGGGGTCACTCGGGACCCTTCCAAGAAGGGGGGGATGGTAGACTTCAGCCCAGAAGAGGGGATCTGGGCTGTGGGGCTGTGGAAGGGGCAGCATTGGGCTCTCACTTCTCCTGTGACTGCCCTGTCCCTTAGCAAGCCCCCCAGAAGGATCCGTGTGTCCCTGGACTATGTAGGGGAATGTGTGACTTTTACGGACGCAGACACAGAAGACCCCATCTTCACATTCCCTCCAGCATCTTTCAATGGGACGCGCACCCATCCTTTGCTGTGGGTTGTTGGGTTCCCAGCTGAGGCAGTATTTCTGAGGCGCATGGGGGTGAAATACCCAACTGCACTCCATGAAATGGATGTCCTTGGTCCATGAGTTTTAACTTCTTTCTGTGGGCTCAGTGAAGGAAACGCCAGTTCTAACCTACTGGAGTAGATAGTTGAGCTATTTGGGGAGAGGAAAATAGGAAGTCTAGAGGTTTATATAACAAAACAAACCTCTACCTCATCAATTGGAGAATGTGAAGAGGCAGAGGAGGAGGCAGAAAAGCTCCCCTTACTCCACAGCCTTATGATGATTTACTTTACATGAGAAGGATATGTAGGCCTTGACAAACAGCATCACTGTTAGGTTATCTTGATTTCTACAAAGGGGTTGTCATGATGCCTTTTGTGTAGTAAGATGAATCTTGCTTGATTGGAAAAAATGTTCTACTTCTAGCTATTAAAATTTTGAAATTTTATGTGTTTTTTATTACTTCACATTTACCATTTTATCAAATTGCTTTTAACTTCAATGCCTATGAACTTATATTTCATTGGAAGATAGAGATCTCAGTTAATCATTGATGGCAAGAAGTTTTATGTACCACAGGCATCCTTAAAGCAAATGAACACATCCAAATTTTAACAGATGTGACAGTTTTGTCTGTGAATAACATTATTCTCCACTCACTGTACAGGTAACACCTTGATCTCATTCTAGCCCAAACTAATTTAATTGGTTTGGAGATGAAATTGACAATTTAGAATAACAACCGATGTGTCCTGATCTTCTTGGAAGTAAAATATACAAAAATGTCAAATGTCTTATAAGGAACCTTATGATAACACCGGCCAACACATATTTTGGTGCCCTACATGTTAGCCCTGTTTCTGAGTGTAGTTGACCTACTGATTCCAAAAATGGCACTGCTAGTAGTAGTAGTAGTAGTAGTAGTAGTAATACAGTAGAGTCTCGCTTATCCAACATAAATGACCAGAAGAACATTGGATAAACGAAAATGTTGAGTAATGAGGGATTAAGGAAAAGCCTATTAAACATCAAATTATATTATGATTTTACAAATTTAGCCCAAAGCATCATGTTTTAGAACAAATCGACAGGAAAAGCAGTTCAATACACAGTAATGTTATGTAGTAATCACTGTACTTATTAATTTAGCTCCAAAACATTGCAACATATTGAAAAAGCTGCCAATCCAGGTGGGAGTAGACTGCATTGGATAATACAGAACACTGGATGAGTGAAGTTTGGATAAGCGAGACTCTACTGTAATAAAATGAAAATATTCAATGTCTGAACATAACAACAATACATACATAATAACTAAAATTGGCAACCCAGCATATAAAAGCAAATTACAACTTAACAATTAAAATTGAATTAAAAACACAACCAATTATATCAGACATGAAACGAGCATCAAACAGAAGCATCAGTTTTTCCCTATCTAGTTATTGAGATACAGATCAGCATCTACCACTCTTCATCTGCTCACCCACAGAAACCTATGATAACCATATAATAAAACTTTATTTATACCCTGCTACCATCTTGGGGCGGCTTACATGAGGCCAAGCCCAGCACTACAATACACAGAACATAGCAATAAAATATAAAGAAATAAAATACAATACAAAACCATTATAAATAACACACCAAGGATAATAAAGTCACAACATTTAAAACACATATCTAAGTAACTAGAGCTGATGTGGTCTATCTAATCCAATTTTCTGAATTGGCACCCCAAATATTCCCCAAAAGAGGTCTAAAAAATCAAAACAGTTTTTTTCCCTGTTGGCCTGTGTAATTGTTGAGATGGCTACATGATGTCATATAAACAATCCTCTACACAAACAACATGCAATGCTTGTTGTCCCTTAGGGGTGATCTGTGGCAATTCACCAGGAGGTATGCCTTGTTTGCCATGGGTTTTTTTTGTGTGTAAACATAATATGTTGCAGAAAAGTGGATCCCAGTTTTGTTAACACTGGTAATGGGAAAGTACGGGCCCAAGTAGATCCTAACTGCTGACAAAGCCTAGTGAGCTAAAGGGTTTACCTGAATAAAATATATTTGTGGAGGAACACTGCAAGCAAGACATTTTTGATATATTGCATCTTCCTCAAGATTTATCTCCACTCTCTATTTCATCCCTCTGCTCCAGTTTCCAAAGCAGTGAGAGAGTGCCTGTTGCAGAAAGAGGAGTCCAAGAGGGATTTACTACCTAGAAATAGCAGTGTTAAATTCAGTGACAGGTCTTCCATCAGAGTGTGGTGCTTACCTGCTTTTTAAGGGTTCCATAATCTTCCTACAACCTTTGGACGTGTTGGACTACATCTCCCAACTCCTTCAGCCAGCTTGTGCTGAATGGGGATTGTGGCAGGTTTGTAAAGCGTGGGGAAGTTAAGCATCTCCCATGTTGATTTTAGAAGGATCCATTAGTGGATCTTGTGATAGGAACATTCAACTATAGGAGATATATCTTCATTTTGGTGATAGATGAAGGAGTAGACATCTGCATGCCAGTTCTTGCCCTTGTTTGACAACTGCCTCTCTTCCCAGCCTCTTCATTTGAGATCTGTCTGAAATTTCCTTCTCTGGGATGTGCCACAATTAAGGTTTGTTAAATACGCGAGACATTTCACGCTCTGCATTTACCATAACAGACAGGCCACAGTTTCATTCCTTCCAGTAATCCCAGGGAGAAAAAGTAACCGTGAATAATGCTGACATCTTCAGTGAGTGGGCCCTCAGTATCTAAGACATTTTGGTCCAGGAACCCCAGTTTGGATACCAAAACCACAGATATTAAATGGCTTCATTGTGAGCACAGCATGTTCGCATTCACATTGTTACAATTTTATAATATGCGACACGGTGATCCGCAGTTGATTTAATTTGAGGCTCTGAGGCACTGTGTTATAGTGTGGAAGAAATAAGCAAATTGTTTCTCCTGCCCTTGTGGATAAATCTTGAGGAAAAAGCTGCTTGCAAACAGGGTATTGGGGGAATGCGGCGGAAATTACCAGAGGAATGAAAGTATAGATGGCAGAAACAATAATAGGGGAGGGAAAAAATGCAAGATTCACTGGCAGTCTCAAACACTTCTGCAAAGATGAACAGAAGCTGATGTGTGCAGCCTGTAAAAAATCCACGGACCTTCGCACTCCTATTTTTGTTCCTGTTGAGGAAACTGTCAGGGATTATAAGGTAAAAAATAGGGCAAATCACACTCCTTTCAGCTTTATTTGGATCTTAGTTTATAAGAATCTCACAATTCTATATACTAGCTTTTGTGCCATATGGTCACCATCGATTAATCTATAAATAATTCAGTGCTGTGTACATACAACAAACTCCTGTCTTTGGGTTATTTTAAATAATGGTTTGTAATCATTATAATGATTGGATTATTGGATGCAGACCCTATAGCACCTGATAAAAGTTAAAGATTCATTCTTAGGGGAGAAAAAAAAAACAGTCACGTGTGTATTTGCATAGTATTTTTTTCATTGCATTCAAAACTGTTTTATTTCCCATCAATTAGCCAGTTAGAACAACACAAAAATAATATGAACAATGTATTGTCGAAGGCTTCCATGGCCGGAATCACTGGGTTGTTGTAGGTTTTTTCGGGCTATATGGCCATGTTCTAGAGGCATTCTCTCTTGATGGCAGGAGAGAATGCCTCTAGAACATGGCCATATAGCCCGAAAAAACCTACAACAATCCATAATATGAACACTTGACAAATATCTTTTCTTGAAATTTACTGTGCCTGGAAAATGTAGACTAAAACCCCTTGTACTGAAGGTTTCCTCATGCTATTTGTATCACGTGCCCCATATTGCTTTGGTCAAATTGAATTACTTTCATTTTACATATGTTTTGAATTGTGATTCAAAATCCTATGCTCAAAGATCTTTAAAGCAGGATCTTTAAATATATGTACACAAACACATCCAGGTGCATCAGAACAACATATAATTCAGTGATACCTGGGATTATTTGCCGATGAAAGCATTTGTGGTGTTGTTGCTGTGTACTATCAAGTTATTTCTAGGGGCAAACATACTTGGCCACGAGTGGCAGTCTACAATCTATATAAGGGACACATAACTATGTACAATGGGCCCTTGGTATCTGCTGGGGTTTGGTTCAAGTACCCCTAATGGATATCAAAATCCATGCAAGCTGAAATCCCATTATATTTATTTATTTATTTAATGATTTAGAGTAATTATTGTTGTATTATTGATGTTATGTGCTTATTGTGTTGTATGAGGGTTGTATTGTAAACTGTTTTTATATGTTGTACACCGCCGTGAGTCGCCCGAAAGGGCTGAGAACGGCGGTCAACAAATGCAATAAATAAATAAATAAATAAATTTCCGTTACTTCTACCCCGCCTTTCTCACCCCCAAGGGGGGACTCAGGGCGGCTTACAAAGGAAGGCACAATTCGATGCCTATGTCAAAAATACATACATACATAAAAGCAATTAAACAGTTAACAAGTTAAAAACATCAGTACATAACACAATAGTAAACAATCTCATGGTCAGTGTTCAGAGTTCCATAAATCCATTCAGTTCCGTCAATTCCTGCCCATCATCAAGGTCTTTCCTTTAGCTGCCAGAATGTCCAAAAGCCTGGTCCCACATCCAGGTCTTCAGTTTTTTTCTGAATGAACAAAGGGAAGTCGCTGATCTAATCTCCCCGGGGAGTGAGTTCCACAGGTGAGGGGCCACTACTGAGAAGGCCCTGCTCCTCGTCCCCGCCAGCCTCACTTGTGATAGAGGCGGGGTCGAGAGCAGGGCCTCCCCAGAAGATCTTAGACTCCGAGGTGGGACGTAGAGGGAGAGCCGTTCAGACAGATACATTATACATTAGCGTAGTAAAATGACATTCCTTATACAAAATGACAAAGTCAAGGTTTGCTTATTGAAATTTGGAGGAATGTTTTCAATCCGTGGATGGTGAAATCCATGGATAAACCTGTAGATGTGGATGGCAAACTGTATGACTATGTTTCCAAACGCCTTTACCTTGTCATTTACTATTCCAGCCAAAGTGTGATCCATGAACCAGTGCCAGTCTGTGACACATTTCCAGGAAAGAAACAGTTATACTGAGTTGACTTGATTGTTAACAAGATGGTTACATTTTTCACACAACCCTAAGGGTCTGTATTTTTCATTTGCCTTTGAATGCTAGTATGTATCCCAACTTGTCACTGAATGTGCTAATAGTTGGCTGGGCCACTCCCTACTGATTTTCCATGCAAATCCTTATGCTGTGAGGTAAGAAGTTTAACCTGTCATTCCAGCTAAAAGGCAAGGAAGAAAACATGATGTGTTGTTGAACACTTTCATGGCCAGAATCACTAGCTTGCTGTGAGTTTTCCGGGCTGTATGGCCATGTTCCAGAAGCATTACCTCCTGACGTTTTAACCACATCTATGAAAGGCATCATCAGAGGTTGTGCGGTCTGATGGAAACTGGACAGGTGAAGTTTATATATCTGTGAAATGTCCAGGGTGGGAGAAAGACCATGTCAGAGTACACAGAGAAGCAAGTGAAATCTGCAAGCATGAGGACAGTTTCAACAGAAAGGAAGAAACCATGAACATGAACAAAATCTGGCTACCAGTATTTAAAAAAACTCTAAAATCAGGACAGTAAATAAAGAGCAACACTAAAAAACAAGGGAATTCCAGATAATCAGGGCCACTTAAGACCTTCCAACAAAAGATTTCCCTAGGCAGCAACCAGCCAGGCTTTGAAGCTGCAAGGCCATTCAATGTTAATCAAGGTAGCCAATTGCAACATTCACACTTGCCTCAAACGTACAAGAGTTCTTTCTCCCCCCCCCCCCCCGGACATTCCACAGATATATAAACCCAATTTTCCTAGTTTCCAACAGACCTCGCAACCTCTGAGGATGCTTGCCATAGACGTGGATGAAAAATCAGGAGAGAATGTTTCTGGAACATGACCATACAGCCCAAAAACTCACAGCAACCCAGAAAACATGATGTTAATCTTGCCTTCAATGCATTTCACTTTAGCTGTTGTAACTAAGGGTGCATCTACACTCCAGAACTATCACAGTTTGATACCACTTTAACTAGTATGGGATAATTATGTGGAATTATAGGGATTATAGTTTGGTGAGGTATCAGCATTATTTGTCAAAGAAGGCTAGAGATGTAAAACTACAGCTCTCATGATTTCATGGCATTGAAACATCAGCCCCAGCCTTGTCTTCCTCAACTGCTGAGTATGCCTGCCCTGTTTGGCATAAGTCTGCCCATGCAAAGCAGGTAAACATAGCATTGAATGAAACATGCAATATAATCACAGGATATCTTAAACCTATACCTGCCCCCCCCCCCAAAATGTGCGATGGGATGTTGCTGCTAAATGTGAGAGAAATAAGGTTGAACACTGAAAGCCATCCACTACATGGCTACCAGCTTCCTCCCAGTAGACTCAAATCAAGGAAAAGCTTTATGAGAACTACCACTCCTCTTGGCAACAGAAAGGATATCTCTCTGGGCAGCTAAACCAGGAAACCCCAACTGGATGCCCCCCGCGAGGGTCTTCCTCCAAGGGCGAACTAAGAACGGGCAACTTGGAGGTCCCTGAACAGACTCAGAAGTGGAGTGGGCAGATCAAAAGACAACCTGGCGAAATGGCACTACCTAAAAGAATCCCACACCTTGTGTGGCTGTGGAGCATAACAGACAACTCGGCATCTGTATGCTTGTCCACTATGCCCTGCCTCAGAGGCTATGGACAATGCCATTGCTGATGCCCATTTTTGGTCAAAATGTATTTAGCCACTTGTGCTCCTATTTTTATCGGTTATATACTAATTTATGCAATGCTTTTGATACAAAATAAATAAATAAATAGCATTGAGCCTTGGCAGTTAAAATGATATCAAACTGCATTAATGATATAACATAGATGCACCCTTTGGAGTCACCATATGCCAGACATGACTTGAAGGAATCCAATAGCAAGGGAACTTATGAAATTCATGATTTTGGAGGTCAACAGGCTGCTTGAAGACACATACACATACACACACATCTTTGAACTGTTTGCATAATAATAGTGATAATGATAGTGGTAGTGATTATGATGATAAGAATAATAATAGAGCTATATTATCCCATGATAACTAGGAAGCGGATAATATGGAGCAATTCTATGAGTCAGTTTTCCCCCATGAGTCAGATCATGAGTGTTCTTGATCCTGTTTCTTGTGACAAAAGTGCCACTTGATTTTCTTAAGCACGTCAAAAACCTGAAAGCTGGCAGCACAGCAAGGAGCATGGTACTTAAAAGCTGTCAAAAATAAATGTATTTGCCATTGGAAAGACAATTCCTTCCTTCATTATTATTTTGTCACCTTATGAGTCTTGAAAAATACTAAAAATAACATTGCAATGGTTCAAATACTGCAGGAGAATGCAATTGATTACTCTTTGTTATTTTCACATGAAAGGTCAAGATGTCTTTTCTCTGAAGGTGATATTTCAAGAGCTCATTGGGGCAGGGATCTGGAAGAGTTCCCAGAAGTCTGGGTTGGTAAGCTGACACATTTCTGGTTTACGAACCATTCTGGCCACTCCTGAGGCTAAGGAGTCCGAGGCAAAATTAACCTTCCACCTTTAGTTTTGAGGTGATATATGTTCACTGCAGACATTATACTTTCTTAAGTTCTTTTAACATTTCTTGGTGCATTAGCACAGCAAAGTCAACAACACACCTATAAGGAAAGGTATTGTTGACCCTATACTATAGGTAAGAAGCTACGTCTGGGAAAATAGTGTCAAGTCTAATGCCAATCGAATCTGGAATCCAACTCAAGATTTTTCCACTAGTCTTGCAGGAAAGGATTGACACAACTCAGTCCTTGGGTGCATCCACGCTGTAGAATTATTGCAGTTTGACATCACGTTAACAACCATGGCTCAGTGCTATGGAATCCTGGAAGCTGCAGTTTTTGCAAGGTTTTTTAGCCTTCTCTGGCAGAGTCCTGGTGCCTTATGAAACTACAGCTCTCAAAATTCCATAGCATTGAGCCATAGCAGATAAAGTGGGATCAAACTGCATTAATTCTACAGTGTAGATGCACACTGGGACTAGTAGGGAAAAACTTCCTGATCAGAGGGAAAGACATTCCTGGCAGGCTCAGGGCTTAGCAGCTATTGTTAGAAACGAATCACGGTCCCACTCTGGCCCTGCTGAGACTGATGAAATGCAACCAGTCACGAGGTCGTGAGGCTTCGGAAAGTTGTGTTTCACCTCTTCAACCCAAACATGTTGTGGCAGCGCTATGACTTTTCTTCTCCTTTCATCAAACACTAAAGAGACCTGAACTGTTCCTGTTTTGTTCAGGGACTGCCTTGCTGCCAATTTAAGAAACCAGAAACCTCAGAGATGACCTCGCAACACCAGCTGGCTTCTGGCAAGGGAACGCCTGCCTTGTGTTTCGTGCCAAGCATTCGCTCTCTATACTTTGCTGTGAAAGGAGGCAAAGGAGACAACCCTTCAGCTGGCCAGGAAGAAGCTATGGCTGCCGTCTTCCTCCCTGGGAACCTCCAAGATGAAGCCACTTGCTCTGTCTGCTTGGAGTACTTCAAGGACCCTGTGTCCATCGAGTGTGGACACAACTTCTGCAGAGCTTGCATCACCAAGAGCTGGAAGAGTTTGGAAGGGGAGTTCCCCTGTCCCCAGTGCAGAGAGCCCTTCAAGGAGAGGAACTTCAGGCCCAACAGACAGCTGGCCAACATGTCCGAGATCATCAGCCAGTTCATCCTACACGGTGGAAAGGGCCTGGAGGAAGATGGACTCTGTGAGAAGCACAAGGAGGCTCTTAAACTCTACTGCAAGGATGACCAAAAGACCATCTGCGTGGTGTGTGACCGTTCTCGGGACCACCGACCTCACAGCGTGGTCCCTGTAGAAGAGGCAGCCCAGGAATACAAGGTAGAAGAGGTGTCCTGGAAAAGTGAATTTTTAGGGGATATAGTTCCAGAATCCGTCAGTTGGTGAAGCCACTGGCCATGTTGATGTGGATTCTGGAGCTATAGTTCAATTGGTTCTTTTGGCTAATGGACTCTGGAAAATGTAGTGCATTTAGACCAGCGTTTCTCAGCCTGGAGATCAGGACCCCTGGGGGGTCGCAGGGAGGTGTCAGAGGGGTTACCAAAGATAATCAAAAAACATATTTTCTCTTGGTCATTCTGCGTGGGAAGTTTGGCCCAATTCTATCATTGGTGGGGTCCAGTATGCTCTTTGATTGTAGGTGAACTATAAATCCCAGCAACTAAAACTCCCAAATGTCAAGGTCTATTTTCCCCAAACTCCACTAGTATTGATGTTTGGGCATATTGAGGATTTGTGCCAAGTTTGGTCCAGATCCAATATTGTTGAAGTCCACAGTGCTCTCTGAATGTAGGTGAACTACAACTGCAAAACTCAAGGTCAGTGTCTACCCAACCCTTCCAGTATTTTCTGTTGGTCATGGCAGTTCTGTGTGCCACGTTTGGTTTAATTCCATTGTTGGTGGAGTTCAGAATGATTGTAGGTGAACTATAAATCCCAGCAACTACAACTCCCAAATGACAAAATAACGCCCCCCTCCCCCAAGAGTACTCAAATGTGGGCGTATCGAGTATTAGTGCCAAATTTGGTCCAGTGAATGAAAATACATCCTGCATATCAGATATTTTCATTATGATTCATAACAGCAGCAAAATTAGAGTAGCAATGAAAATAATTTAATGTTTGAAGGTCACCACAACATGAGGAACTGTATTAAGGGGTTGCAGCATTAGGAAGGTTGAGAACCACTGATTTAGACTAATTTAGACTAAAATTCTAAAATAACAAGAATGTAGACTTGCCAGTTGTCTGCATTTGAGCTGCTCTTATGCCATGTGATATACAGAATCTACCTATAGACACTTTTCTTGGCATAGAATTTAACATAAACATTGGATAAGTACATTGTTATTTATCCCTCCTGTTCCCAGAAGGCAATATATAAATATTGCAAAAAACAACAATATGACAAAAGGCTAGGCACCTAATGGAAGTGTTAAAGATACAATATCAGGCTTGGTAGCAAAAGTGGAAGTGTTGCACATTTAGCATTTAGATTTCCTCGCTATTTGGTCAAGAATTGTCTTAATTGCAAACAATCCACCGAGGTTGTCCTTGTCAGGCATGAAAAGGTTAAAGAAGTAATTAAACTCCTGATCTATTTCTGGGAGGGAGTCTTCCCAAAGTGGGAATCAGATCCCTGGCTGCCCTGGGTTCTCTGGTGAGCAGAAGCCAAGATTGCTCTTCATGTCATTGGTAGGAAAACAGTTACTTAAAATAGAATATGCAGCTGATAAAGGTGGAAGATCTGAAGAGCAGATGGCCTGGTGCACCCCTAGAACTTGACCTGGGGGGGTCTTCAAAAGCATCTCTGCATACCTTCCCTTGCACAAATAGCCCAATAAGTGCAAAGCAACAATTACAATACAATACAATAAGCCTTTATTGGCATAACATGGCAGAGAGTATAAAATATAGTACATGTGATAAAAAAAGGGCTTCTCGTTTGCTACACATTCAGTTTGCAGACTTCATTCAGGAATCTTGCCACTGAAAGG